TTTTCCCTTGCCTTTCACGCCCTTGGAACGCTTCCTCTTGTTGGAACTCTTTCCAACCATTAGGACATTCTTCTCGACTTTGATGTTCTGCTCGGCCGATCGCAACATCCCATGTAGTTCGGTCAAGTCCTTCTCCGTCCCGTGCATGTTATAGTTCATGACAAACTGGTCAAAACTATGCGGCAGGGATTGGAGAACTAGGTCTACTGCCAATTCACGACTAACCTCTAACCCTAGTCTGTCAAGATCCTCTAGATAACCCTTCATCTTGAGGATATGAGTACTCACGGGTGAACCATTGGTCATCTTACAATTGACCAGGTTCTTAAAGACGTTAAATCGTTCGACCCTTGCCTATTCCTCGAACATAGTCCTGAGATGCTCGATCATCTCGAAGGCATCAGTTCCTTCGAGTTGTTTCTGCAACTCAGCCGACATAGATCCGAGCATCAGACAGGTCACGTCCAGGTTGTCATTGATGTGCTTATGGTAAGCATCTCTGACAGCCCTGGGCGCATTGGCCGCTGGTTCATCCTCTGGAACGGCTTCTTCCAGCACGTAGAGCTTCCGCTCATGCCTGAGAACAATTCTCAGGTTGCGGTACCAGTCGAGTAAGTTTCCACCAGTGAGTCTCTCCCGATCCAGGATGGATCGCATGGAGAGATTAGCCAGATTACCTGCAGCAGTCATATTCTACAGAAAAAGACAAAACAAAAGACATAAAACATGCAAGTCGCTTAGTACACATACTAACACAGACAATGCCTGATTATCTTGGTGAGGCAGTATGGAGAAATCGTGATTCTCATAGCTCGAATATGGTTGAGCTTGAATTGGGTTATCAAGTCGGACTTGGACCTGATGGTAAGGATGGGATGAGGAACATGCAGTGATAGCGTATCACTATCCCATACTCATCTAGGAATCACATAGGATGTGATTGACAATGTGTTGTCTACCTAAATAGCATGTTTTTGAGCGTCATGCCCTACCTGACTCAAAAGAATGTGAAATATGGATCCTAGCTAACTTGGAAACTCATTGAGGGTGTTTTTCTTACTGGGAGCCTGTCACATTGCATCTATTGTCTGTGTTAGTAGGAGTACTAAGCGATGTGTTTATTTTCTGTTTGTTTGTCCTTTTCTATAGAATATATCTGTTGCAGGAATCTGGTTAATCTCACCATGCGATCTATCCTTATGAAGGATAAGCCTCTGACCACGGCTTCTAGATCGATCTCGGTCGAGTCAACACTTGACTCTGTCCGAGTCAAAACTCTGATCTGTCGTTCTGACTCTGTCGAGTCAAAACTCTGACTCTGTCCAGGTCCTCGTTCTGACTCGGTCGAGTCAACACTTGACTCTGGCCGAGTCAAAACTCTGGTAGACACTTTTTGGCCACGAGATCTAGGGTTTTA